TGGGGGGGGGGATGATCGGTATTACATAACGTAAAACTTTCCTGGATTTATATACCTGCCGAATGACAAGATACCGACACACTAGAGATCCCGTCGCGTGTTAAGATAACAATGTACTACCACGTACCTGTGAACCCTATTCTTTTTCTTTTTATACCTTTGAATTTCCGCGCATCACCAAAGAAACTCAATCGATACCATTGAACGTCAACTTTTTTTTACGGTATATCGATTTCGTGCCCTTTTTTCGGAAATAAAAAAAAATTCAATTTACACACGTCACAGTGAAAGGGTATCTTGATAATGATAAAATGATAGTGAAAATAAATCTTGATTACGTCCCTTATCTGAATTATCACTGGAGACCCTACCTAAATCCGTCTCGTGCTTCTCATTTGGCATAAGTGTCCTGCAAGTATCAGTGTATTACGAGAGACAGAATTTATCAAGCGATCCCAGGAGAGCTACGAGTGAATGGATAAAAAGTTACCCGGTATATTCTTATACGGAGGCTGGACAGGAGCTACGAGAATGGTCCAGTGGAAATGGCTAGAAAATAATCAGACAAACGGTTATGGTTGTCAGCGACTGGTATAACGTCAGGATCCAAAGCGCAGCTATCTTGAGCTGAAGTTATCGCGATTTTCATCTAAATTAAGAACGTTAACCGAGCATTGTTATCAGGGGCATGCGTCACCCCGTCCACCCCACTCACAACCCTCGACCAACTTAGCTAACGGTATATTGTACTGTATACGGTCAAAGAAACCTACGGACTTCATTCCAGGTGATTAATTCTTTGGCCGACTGTGGACGCTTCTTTGTAATTCCTGTGCTTGTAAATAGGATGAAAGTTACGAGCAGTTCGGCCAATCCGGAGCAATAATGAAAACGTATTTCTTTACAGTTGCCTGAACAGAGCTGATATAATAAGGGTCCACGATGGGACCAGTTCGGCAGCCCCTACGATAGCCGTACTGTGCAACCAGGGCGCTGAGGTCGAGATACTCAGCACAGGTGCTGACCTCTACGTCGAATTCGTCGCTAACTCTGAATGGCCTGGTCAAGGCTTTAAGGCCATGTTCCAATTCCAGCCGCTGGACGACGCCCATCATCCTGGTCGGTACCAATTATAAAACGAATATGTCCGGATGGACTTTACTGTCATTGATATTCTATGTGGGGTAAAACATTTTTTTTTTGATGGGCTCGAGTCGACTTTTTTATAGAATTGTTGGAATACAAATATTCAGGCGATTTATTCACGATGTGGAATTTATCGATTTGTTTGCTTTAAAGAAAGCTTAACGCTTTGAATCTTGTTTTTACTTTTGTAAATAATATATTCCCTGTTGCGCATAGGCTTATTTGGATCGTTGGTATTTTGGTACTGAGATCGATGATCAACCTGTCGGTAATGTAGTCTCGAGCGGAGACTTATGCAGACTTACGAGAAAGCTCCAGTGTCGGTCATGCAGATTCTCAATTAGTAAAACAGATACGGAGCTTTTAGAGCTTGACTGAAGATAAATTGATCAGGTATCTTTAGGGGTTTGGTGTTACGTAAGGTTGAGTGTCGCGGACAAACGTAGATAGAGTTATCGACTGAAATTCTGGTAGCATCCGAAATTTCATTTTTGGAGATTGCTCTTTCTGTCCTATCCACCTTTTAAACTCTTCGCGAGTGCTTGAGAATGTCTGGTTCATGCAAAAATTTGTCACCGGTGAAAAGAAAAGCGAAAAGAGTCACTCACCATAGGATGTTCGTCTGCAAGATGTTGCGTCGGGTCCTCGTCTTTTTCTCTGTCTTGTCCTATTGGTCTACAGGTTTGGGGTTAGTTCCTTGACACTGAAACAGAGAATCACGTGAAAAGGCCTGGACTAAGCAATCGGGCTGCTTCTGTCGCAGAGTCAGAAAACGGGGAAAAAGGAGTCAGGCTTTAAAAAGTTGCACACTCGCACAACACCGAACAAACTGAACGTCAAATTTATTTATCTTCAGTCAACGAGTTCCGTAACCGTTAGCACGAGCGGCGGGTAACTGAAGAAACTGCGACTTGGATTTCCCTGCGTCGGTAAAGAAGAGACAGGCGGGCTTGGAAGCTCGGCCGGTCAGATTCCCTTTGATTAATATCCGACTGTAAATTCACGAGGACTCGCAAGGACCGGCTGAAGAAAGCTATTTCTTCAAGAAATAGTACCGTACTTAGGATACCCATAATTTTAATACCTGAACACATATATTTAGCAGCTGCGAATGCATTACCGAGTTTACTTCACAAACTTTCGACATAAAGACAGTCGTGCACGTGTCCTAGGATTTGAAAGATTGAATTTTATTTCTCAAAAGGGAAACATCCCTTTCGACACAGTTAATTCAACAAAATACATCCCTTGATATACCAACTCTTTGCTATTTATCTTTTAAAGTGGTATCACTGTCCGTTTTGTTTTTTTTTTATCTTTTCTCTCCCTTCTTTCTTTTCTTTACAAATTGGCGAGCAATTCCTCCTCCCACATCTCTCACTCTAACATCCCCACAGGCAACCCCGTTCGATCACAGTCACTGGCTTACAAATCATTAGGATGAATTTCCCCGTTTAGCCATAGGCCATTGCCCAATTTAGATGCTAACGGGTCAACACTATTTTTTCAGGCTGTTTGAGATAAAAAGAAATCTACGTAGTTAGACGTCGTGCTAATAAATGCAGTTAATCGTACGTACGAAGGTCGTTATTATTATCGCACGGAGCAATGAATAAACTGTACTTCCCATTTGAAATAATTCAATCTGGGATATTGTACGACCTAGCTACAAGAAATTCATGTCACGTCACTACCGCAATGTTCAATTTGAAACGACCAAGAAAAATGCAGCATTAAAAATTTATAGTCTAATAAATCCCAGATTGAGATCCTTTGCATTAAGGTAGATTGGCTGTGTTGCAACGCGTGCTTGGACTCCCAGCCGTAATTAACGGTACTGTATATTCTCGGGATAATTACAATAATGTGTTACAGACCTGGACAAGGTTGCCTTTGGGGCCGTTACGGGGAACCCCAGATACTCCGTCATCGGTCCTGCTGTCAGCGCTACAAGTAAGTACACTCCACACGTGAGAAAGTCTGGATTGGAGCTTTTTTTTTTTTAACGCACTTCCGAACCTGTAAAACATGACGAACGATGGTCAGACAGACGTAATTGAACAGAATAAAAATATCACAATAAAAACAAATACTTAATAAATTCCGCACCCTGTAGCTCTTGATAATGGCCTATGACCCAAAACACAGAAGTTTTACCACCCTTGTAAAGTCCATGATAATATTAGCATCCCCTTGACATGGCTCGATCGAAACTTTCCAAGTGGTTAAAACTAGAAGTGTTATCAACCCTGGATAAGCTGTTGGTCCATCGAAAATTCACTGAATTTCTAGAAAGCTGTTAACCTTATTCCGGTCAAAGATCAACATCTCAACGAGACGAAGAAGACGAATTTTACGTAAAAGCTATATTTAAATCAAATTTAATAAATCCAATTGAAAAATATTAAGCAGCAAATTTTTTTTTAATTTTCATACTACAACTGTTTCACCTTAACCGGAATAATGCCCAGGACAATACCAGGCAATAATTATTCCAATCGATAGGAATTAACAATCCACCAACGCCTTGAGGTCATCGAGGAAGCAAGATGGGGTTAATCTCAACTGAACCCTTGGAGCGAACACGTATTATTTATTCATGTAAATCTGACCTAACTGCCACTAGCAGCAACGATAGAATCCAGAGCTGGAGATCCTAAGTGAGCTTAGACGCGTAGAGCAGCTACTGGAATCGTACCTGTGTTTCCTAGGCATCCCCAGAACAAGGAAAGATCCTGTGAGCTCTGCTTATTATATACTACTATACCGACTGGGTTGGTCGGTAAGTACATACCTGGTGTACTGCATCTATTGTAAACGTCAACTAGCATCTGGGTCCTTTCTCGGTAAGTGCTTTGAATCCAGAGCACCAGCTGGGGCAGGTCTCCATGCAAAGTTTCCTGAAACTGATGCAAAATATTTATTAGGTTAGAAAAAAAATTGATAGGGTCAGTCTTAGAAAGAAGATAGGAGGATATTCATATGTTAGAATGTCTTAGAATTCATCTGTTAGATCCTTGCACAGAGCCTTTGTTGTATTTTCCTGGTAATTTTTGAGGAACGTGGAAACAGTTTATGGTTAACATTTGTGTGCAATGCAAAATAAAATAATGCAGTAGATTGCGAACCTTCTTAGCCATTTGCACGGTGTTAAGCGCGAACCGAGATTAAATGAATATTTCATAATTTCATCCGTTGGAAATGCGACTTTACCTTTTATACAGTGTAAACAGGAAATTCTTGAATTTTTCAAGAACTATCAGGATTTTAAAATTGGCAAATTTATCGTTCAACAGCTATGTTAGTTTTGCTGTGTGTAATGTCAATTTTTCTGAAAACGGAAGATTTTGAAAATTTAAAGTAGATGAAGAAGGTGGAAGTTACTTGGATGAAAAAAAAATTCAGGGAAGACGAGCATCTTTTCAGTTAGACGCAATTTCTACTTGGCAAGTATCCTTGATTGCTTTCTCGAAAATTTATTACAGCTCTTTAAGTGTTATTTGCAATATTGAAAAATGCAACATGGCCAAGTTTGTCGAATTATTATTTCACTGATATTAATCACTCTCGCATACAGCTGCGTCTTTGCAAATTTTATGCATCGTTAAATTTGTTCCCTTTACTCGGCGTCTCACGTTAAAGTAGATTTACGTGTACTGAATTCACACCTTAATGTATCTAACGTGTTTATTCTATGCACACCGTAATCAGGTTATCAACCTGATTTTAACCAGTGAGGATACATAAAAACTATTCAAATTACCTGAAAACTAAATTAATCATCATCAGAGTCAAGATATTGATAATTGTACAATTTCATAATTTTTCTCTATTTGCAATTACAAATTGCCGATATACTAATTTGAACCAATATTTTTCAACATCAATTTTATTTAACCCCACAGAATCAGGGTGCGTTCACAATGCGACGAGGTGTACCGGCAATTCGTTATCGAGAGATTGATCGACGCCCGGTATTTTCAGTGCGAAAAGTTCGTAGCGCGACGCCTTGCGACGCCATGCGACGCCCGTCGAAGACTAAGATCGTTCATACCGATAAGGGAGGGGGGGCAGGCGTCGTCAATAAATCGGTAACGCTACCTAACTTCCTCGATTTGTCAATTAGGCGAAATTTGATCGCTACATAGAAAACTGACGTGCAGCGCCCCTAGCGGGAGGACCCAGGAAACTCAGCGTCTGAAACATAAAGGCCATCGTCTCATCCTCTTGGCGACGGCGTCGACGTTGAAAGAAGCGACGATTTATGTTGGCCTTTTTGCCGTCGAGAGGGAAGAGCCGCCAAAGCTAAGGGTGGTGGGTGGTTATACGAGGAGGGTTTAGGGCGCATCAAGAGAGGCAGGAGTTGATGGGCGGAGGGTGGTTAAACGAAGAGAAGGTATAGAGTAGGTGACCTTTTAGAAGCCGTGGAAATCTAATAGACCGCAAGTGAAGATGAGAGATTGGCTTTGGGGTTGGTCGCTCGATGGGGTGGATACTGGATATACTGGCAGGGGATGAACCTTCAATTCTATCTGGTAATTCGTAGCAAATAGTCTTTAGGAAAAAAAAAAAAATTGTACTCTCCTACTTTTCCACTTGATCATCCCTCGTGAAAGATCCTTCGGGGCATTTATTAATGACAGGGCATTTTTAGGTTCATCCCCTATTTTTTGCTTTATTTCTTCATTTCGCCCCCAGAAGTATCGAGCAATAGGGAACCAAGCGATGTGTCTCTAAGTCATGTGTCTGGAACATGTACTTCTTAGCGTTATAAATAAATCCCCATAAAGATGAATTTCCCATGGTTTCCGTGGCTGCGCCATTGGATTATTCTGATTGATGTGACACGGGAGACGCGGCAATTTTAAATATTACCGATAGGCCTTATTATTTCATGGCGTCGCAGTGAGTCGCGGTGCGCGTCGTTGTGCTTCTTTTAGGATCGAGACGATCTTGCGCAATGGGAGAAAATTGGCGAGGAGAAACCGCGTGCGAATACATCGAGATCGGGTTGAGCGACCGGAAACAGAGTCTGCAGGGGGAAGTGGAGTTACGAAGGAAATTCCATTTTTCACAATGTTGACAAGTAAAGTCGCTACGTTTATGGCTACTGCGATAAGCTTCGGCAAAAGTGCCGTAGGAACACGAAACGTTAAGCTTGCATTGCGCGTAATCGCTGGATATTTTACGCCAATTTCAGGGACCTCGCGAAATTCGCGAAGTCATTGGGAATCACGTGGAATGAATTAACCATAGTCGCTATAAAGTACGGCAGATAATAATGAGGTGGCGATAACGCGAAAGGCTATAAAAATTAACCTCGCTTCAAATACCCGCAATTCCGTGAGGTAGCAAAATTACATTTTTTAACGTACATTTTGATCATTATGAATTTTCAAAATTTGCAAATTTTTTTTTTGCCAAATTGCACGAAATCAATATCAATTCCAAATTAATGGCACGTAACACACTCTACAGGAGTTTCGAGCTGAACTCGTGCGTCCAGAAGGCATTAGCGAATTTAAATTCTACTCTCGTTCTTTGGACCGGTACAGTTTAGTCTCATCCTTTGATCTCGCGAAATACATGGCCCTTTGTTGTTTTTCTTTTTAATTTAATTTCATCCTTCAAACGCGCAGTGCTACAGTCGTATTGCGAAATCAAGATACGATTCATAAGACTGATTAGTTACCTTTGTGCAATTGGGTATCGCTATTGTTAATTCGCATTGATTGATAATCGTCACGGTAATATCATAAAATCGCGAAAACACTGTCATTAATTTTTTTTTTGCCTTTGCCATTTCCGTCCACGCTCCCCCTCCCCCCCCC